GAATCAAACTCTGACTTTTCTTATGCAGCTGCTTCATCTTTCAGCCTTCATAGATTTGAAGAAAGTTAGGGCTTCTCTTTGGATGAGGCTTTGGCTTAAGGGAATGTTATGGTTGGTTTGATCTTCTATCCAATCACTAAAAAGTTTTTCCATATGAGCAATAAGGATGTTTTGCTTTCTTACAATTTGTGTGTTCAATGGAGTAGCACTTTTAATTTTCTTTGCAGTCACAACTCGGCTGTTTGGTGCAACGGGCTTAGCTTTCAGCCTACCTTGGCTTTTGATGTGCCATGCTCACTGAGCTAAATCATTTCGTAATCTAAGCTTTTGATTTAAAATGGGAGATATGTAACTCTTCCTTTCCCAGAACATTTAGAGCCCATTGCAGGGTTGTTAATTGGCCTAACTTCAAGATTCTTGTGTCTCAGGTAATAGGGAGGACCAAGGAGAGGGGGAGAGAGGAAAACAGGCAGTTGGCGGAGCACTCAGAACACACACAACATTTACTGTTAAGTTCATCAACGTATGTGGTGCTGGTTTGTGGCACCCCAAAACAATGACCATAGTACCATCAAAATCACTGATCACAAATCATTATAACAAATATAAAAATAATTAAAAGTTTAAAATATTGCAGGAATTACCAAAGTGTGAACCACGAAGTGAGCAAATGCTGCTGGGAAAATTTATGCCAACAGACTTGCTCCACACAGGGTTGCCACAGATCTTCAATTTGTCACAAACACAATATCTGTGAAGCACAATAAAGTGAACCCATTCAACAAAGTATGCCTGTAAACGACTCACCTGTGAGCAGGCTATTCACATGCAAACTAGCCAACAGGAACTTGTGCTTCAACAACTTCCATTACCAGGCTCTTACATTCAGAGCTATTCCCCTGCTCAAGTCACCTCCGGGCCATCTACAACTAGGGACAGCTCTAGGCCCCACAGCGCTGTGAAATTGTTCAAACTAACCAATCCTAAGCCTGCTTACCTTACCCTACCCATTCCTTCTTGCCAAAAGCACATTGAAGTTGTTGTGGGATTCTTGACAGAGAGACGGGACACCGAGGCTGTGAGCAGAAAGCAGCGTTTATTGATGCCGACACCGGCTCAGCGGATTCACATCCAAGGGCTGAGCCCCGACTGTAACAGGGCGGGCAGTTTTATATAGTCTCGTATTACCGCATATACACACAGCTACAGAAAGTCCACATAAGGAAGGAGAACACTGATTGGCTGCCAAGCTATAAGGAAACTGGCTTAACCTTTTAAGCAGGTGTCCCAACTGCCACGTCGGCCGCAGATTCCTGGGGAGGGGGGGTCAGTCAGGAACTAACTTGTTCGAGCAGGAAATGGCAGGAAATGGTCAGGCAGGGTCAGGCTGCCACAGAGTCATTTATCAAAAATGATAAGATTAATATAAAAGCTACAAATGTATATAGGTTTTCTTTTGTTCTCATAGCTTTTTAGAAGACATACATTTATGTAAAGTAAAAATTACAACAAATTTTGTTGAAACACTTACAGATGTGCTGTAAATAACACATTACCACAAATGGAGGTGATAGGGAATAGGATTATATAGGAGTAACATTTCTGTATCTCACAGAAATCTAGTATAAACCAGAAGCTGTTTCTGATCCCCAGAAGCTGTTTCTGATAAGTTAAGATGCATATGTTAAGACCAGGATCAACCAGTAAAATATTTGCAATTCATATGTCTGATAAGGGATCAATATCCAAAATATATAAAGAAGTTGTATAACTCAATAGCAAAAAAAGAAAAATCTGCTTTAAAAATTGGACAGAAGATCTGAATAGACATCTCTCCAAAGACATACAAATGGCCAACAGGGACATGAAAATATGCTTCACATCACAAATCACTAGAGAAACGCAAATTAAAACCACAAAGAGATATCACCTCACAACTGTTAGAATAGCAATATTAAAATGATAAGAAATAACAAGTGTTGGTGACGATACAGAGAAAAGGGAGCCCTTGTGCACTGTTGGTGGGAATGTAAATGCGTGCAGCCACTTTGTCCATGACGCAGCCATGGAAAAGAGTGTAGAACTTCCTCAAAAAAATTAAAAATAGAACTACCATGCGATCCAGCAATTACACTTCTGGATATCTACTGAAAGAAACGATATCTATCTCAAAAAGATATCTGCACTCCATGTTCATTCCAGCATTATTTACAAATCCAAGACATTTTTAACTTAGCTTATTTCCATGTCTTGGCTTAAAAAAGAAATTGATACATATATGTATGAATATTTTCAGCCATAAGAAGGAAATTTTGCCATTTGTGATGACATGGATGGACCTTGAAGGCATTATGCTAAGTGAAATAAGTCAGAGGAAAAAAATATGTTGTAAATCTCACTGATATCTGGAATCTTAAAAAAATAATCTGAATCCATAGATACAGAGAACATGTTGCTCATTGCTGGAGGTGGGAGCCAGAGGGATAGGCAAAATGGGTGCAGATAGTCAAAAAGTACAAATTTCCAGTCATAAGAAAAATAAGTCCTAGGAGTGTAATGTACAGCCTGATGACTACCACACTGTATATTTGAAAGCACCTGAGAGTAGATCTTAAAAGTTCCTCGAGAAAAGCAAAAAAAAACCCTGTAACTGTGCAGGGGTGGATGTTAACTAAACTTAGAAGGGAATATAGTACTATCCATATTATAAAGGTGGCATTTCTAATCAGTGGCACAAATACGGATTATTTAGTACTCCTTTGTTCTACAGATTTGCCTATGTTTTGCCATAGCTTATATGTCTCAAATTGCAACTCTTTGCTATTCCTGAATTAACCCATTTTTGCTGGTAAAATAACTGTTTTAAGGTCAACAGACCATATGCAAATTAAAATCCTCAATTTTGAATGAACATAATAGTGTAAATTCTCATAGCCTTTCTTTCCGAGAAAACACGTTTATAAGATGGCTGCTCCACATGCAGCGCCACAGCCACAGTCCAGGCAGGAAGGGGAAAGGAAGAGGGCCTGAAGAACTCATGCCCATTGAGCGTGCCCTGCCTCCACCTCATACCTGTCTGTAACTGTCTGAAAAGCCCAATCTGACAACTTTTGTTTACAGCTATAAGGGAAGCTAGAACATGTAGGGTTTTTGTTTGTCTGTCTTTATTTAAGCTGAGCACAGTTCTTCAAACAAAATGAGAATTTTTATAGCGAGAAAGAATGGATATTGGGTTGGTCACACATGACAAAACAACTAATAGTATCTAATATTAAAAATATTCTCATAGATCATTCAATTATGTGGAAGTTATAGTATCACCTAAATGAAAATATAAAATATGTATGTATCTGTGTATACACATGCGCATATGTATCTACATGTATCTACATGTTTACATTTGTGTATATAGGTAAAACCAAAATATTCTGCACACAAGAAAACCTGAATCATTTGCCATATTTTACTTACTTTTAAAACAGTCTTGAGGTGGCCTCTTCTGTGTGTTCCCAGCTGTAGGACTTCTGTTCAGCCAGACTTCAGGTAACTCCCAATGATGGCTCTTTCGTAGTTTAGTTGTAATTTTGATGTGGTGAGAGAGGCGAGCACAGCGTTTACCTACTCCTCAATCTTGACCAGAAGCCTGAAGCCATAAGAAATATGAGTATGGTAAATTAGGCTTCTGGATATTTCCAAAGAGAAATAGTAGGTTCCAGGTTATTCGATGGGTCTTTGATAGGTGTTGCCGAGAAAGAAAGAAAAAGAATCACATCCTGAGAAAATAAAATAGTTCCAGAACAAAGAGAAAGTACCAATGCACCTTAAACACGACTTTTTGATGTCACAACCATTTTTTCCTCTTCCCCTAGAGAGCTAATTCTGAGAAGGATAGA